ATGATCCTTTAAACCCTAAACCCTACTTACTAAGTCCCATGATCCTTTAAGAAGGCAGCCCTGGCCTTCGGCTTGTGCCTTGGCTCTCGCATCGGCCTTCCGCTTTCTCCTCTCTTCGCCAGGATCCACGACACTGGCGCCGTTGACGCTGGGCTCGGTTGCAGCCTGGAGGAAGTCCGTGGATCTCATGATATGGGGGTTTCCGAAAATAGGGGACCCTAATATAGTGCCCCAAATAGTAGGATCCTTATTATAAGGACCCCAAAATAAGGTACCCCTTATTTTCGGAAACCCCCATATTGATGGTGAAGTGAGGGCCAACCCGGACACTGTGGCTACGGCTGAGACACGAGGGGTTAAGTCGAGGCTGAAGGGCAGGGGAGGCATTCGGTGGTAAGTTGGGTGAGCAGGGGATGAAGCTTCAGCTGCACCAATGCCCACCTCCTGACTATATTATTCATATGATTCACTAACCCGACGTTTCTCGTAAGCACTTGTGCACTTCACGTGCCTTACATCTCACAAGCCGGACCATGCCTGATTGGCAGTCTCGTCCTTCTGGGTCGGATCCTGAGCCTTTTGAAGGCTCGGCTTTGCTGGCGAGGGAGGCGCCGCCGGCGTCGGGGCTGTCACGGGCTCGACAGGCGGCGCTTCGGGCGCTGCGGGTGGCACAGGCTTCTGGGGAGCTTGTGCCTGCGCCGCTTGGGCATCCAGCTCTGCTTGCATTTCCTCCATCTGAGCAATCATCTCTTCTTCACTGACGGTCACGGGTGCCGGCGCTCGAGGAACGGAGCCAGGCGGGGGTGGTGGACGCCGAGCATCACAAATGGTGTTGGAATTCTCCACCTTCCGACTCCAACCGCTCCCCTCGTGCATTTTGGGAACCTGGCGGCCACCACTGAGAACCCAATTCCGCTTGTCTGCTGTCTCGCCGAGCACATCTCTAACTTCTCCGGCGGTGCAGCCATACCGGTTGTGATTGATGACGACCTTTTCCGGCTGATTGTCTGGCTTCGCTTTCGTCCTCTCTCTCTCCTTTTGGGTTATAAAGGTCTTCTGAGCTTTCTTTACCGGCCAGCAGATGTCATCCTCGCTGAACCAGTGGCGCTGCTCCCCCACACCTGCTAGCCTGTATGGGAAAGCCCCACCATCATCTTTGAAGATGCGGAATACCTTACCGATGGCTTCCGGCAAATACCGCTTCATGATCATGGTGTCCCGGATCTGCACCCTATCCCCGATTGTCGGTCTTCGATTGGGTACCACGGCCTCCTCCTCCTCGTCCTCTTGAGCCTCCGCTTTCTTGGGCTTGGGCTCGCGGGGGTCCTTCATGGCTTTCCGACAGAGCGCGACCAGATAGTGCTTGCTTGGCTCGCCCTTGGGTACGTCGTGTCCGGCCTGCTCAGGGACAGGGATGACCACGGAACACACGTCGCGTTGTTTTGGGAATCTACGTTGCCCTATCCACATGGAACCGAAAAGTACTCAACAAACCGCAGAAGTGGAAGTCAATCGCACAAAAAGAGCTGAGACAGCTGAAGCCGCGAGGGCGGGGACTGTCCTGCTCGATCCTGTCCCGCAGCTGCTTCTCTGTGAGGAGGTGCAGCTCGACTATCTGAAGCCAAGAACGCTCAGAGCAGTTGCTTATGATAAGAACTCTCACCTCAACTTCCCCTGTCAGGGCAGCTACCCACCGACCTGCTTCTCCTCATCTGGGCACTTGATGTTGTCGAAATCCAGAGGTTTAGGGTCCGGCTTCGGTACGCCTCTCTCCTCTTCGACCCTCTTCTGGTCGGCCTGCCATCAATAAAAAGGACTCAAACTTCCCTTCAGAGCCCATCCTAGCGCTTCTGCTCGACCCCTGTTCCGTAGCACACTTTTTTTGTTTTGTTGTTGGGAATCGAACCCCTACCTAGGGCGCCTAAACGCGCGCTTCCTCTATTTCGAAAGTCTTGAACGATCGGTTCTGCTTGAGCTATCACACATAATCGACGTCTGGGGCTTGGCGGCGCCGCAGAGTGTGCATGCTTTCGCAGAATTTGCAACAAATCATGTACGCATTTGTTCGATCGTGCGCTTTTGTGCCTATATGCGAGCATTTACATAGCCCCAACGAGCACCCCAAAATTGTGCAGAAACAAGTAAAGCGGAAGGTGATCCAGGCCGGATTCATCTTAGCCAAAACCGACCGTCCCTCCCATATGTGAGCACATCCTTGGGAAAATCGATGCATGCTGCAGGGAGGTCCTCTGCAGCCTTTTCAGCCTTCTCCTCTTCAGCTTTCTTGACGACACTGATGATGTCCGCCTGCACTGCACATGGCGTGCATGTGCTCATCGAGGGTATGTAGTGCAGGTGGCTTAAGATGTCAAGAGCGTGCCGACGTGTCGACGTCTCAAGTCTACTTTCACAATTTCTGTACTCACTTGACGCCAGCCTATCACTATCCAAACCAGTACGTCGTCGCCTTGAACTTGTGGTGCTATGTTGGCCAGATCGGCTCAACGACACAATCACTGCAAGAGCAGCCCCCTGGCGTCACCTTTTCCAAGTGGCCGTCGGGCAGCGACGCCCCTGCCCAGAAGAGCCGTTTCTTGAGGTCTGCCACCTTGCAGAATGTGGCAAAGTTCAACACCCTTCATCACACTACGCTACATTGCATGCTGATGCGGGCAAGTCCACGAAGATTGCACTTCGACAACATGCTGCCGGTTGAACTAAGTCTTTGTTGGCCACAGATCGAAGGATTTCGAAACACGCAAAGGTAGCAGCTGGGCTCAGGTGCTCACTGAAAGCTTCTCAAGGTCCGCTGCCAGAAGCGACATGGCGAAGACCGCCCGCTATAATGTTTCTTCCAACTCTCTGAAGCCGTTTTAGCTCGAAAGGGGTGTGACGGCGTTACTTGAAAGGCTGTGGAGTGACTCTTAGGGCTCTTGTGGCACTTATGGAACAATTTGCTCATCATTGTGAGGCGCTCCTGCCCTTTGCAGCCTGTAAGTTTTCCACTGCTCAAACTGAAGCAGTTGATGGCTTGCGGACGCTGCTGAGGTCGACACGCTTGCGAACCTTTGCCGCCTGTCCTTCTTGCACAATGCAGGCCGGTGTTGGGGCAGGAAGCCAACAAGCTGGAGAAGGTTCGGTATCAAAGACAAGCATACAATATCTGCAAACGAGATAACACCCTTTGAGACCACGACCCGTGGTGATGGAAGCTACCAGGAAGACTTCACAACGTGCTGCTGACAACCGATCGAACATTGAAGTCACAAAGTCACTGCAGCCCAAATTGTCCTTGACCAGATGGTCCGGGAGCAGACTCGCCCGTGATGACAACATCTTCATCCTCGCCTTACTTTGCGTTGCATTTGAACTTTGAAAGCTCTTGCGATGGAGAGGAGACGAACTGAGAAGATGTGGACAGCCACTCTGCCATGGCCGCGGCTGTCGACGACAACAACAGCGTTCGCCAGCATGCCTTTCGCCGGAAGCTCTCCACAGCTGCATAAACAAACCACAGTCTTAAGAGACGGAGCGGGAGCAACAGCAGCAGCGGTGGTGGTGCTTGTGGTAGGAGCAGCAGCGACAACAGCTGCAGCAGTCTTCTTGCTGCTGTCATGTTGTTGCTGTGAACTTGAAACGCTTGCAGCTCGTCCCTTTCAATAAGGGACCGATGGCCGAGCAATTTACACAGTTCGTGAAACGGTATATGTAGCATGTGGGGTCTGCAGAGACAGATTTTTTAGTCGGAAATGCCTTTCCGTGAGCATCACCAGNNNTTCGTCGCACTTGGCTACACCATCATACCAAGGAAACGGAATACTTACAAGTACATATTACGTGGCCTGGCTGGCGGAGGAAATACTCCACGAGAAAAAAAGCATACTACTATAATGTCCCCGACGGAGGACTTGGTGGAGGAGTCTATGGGGAAAAGGGTTTGTACCCTGACCAGGAGCGGCATACAGGAGTGCGACGAACTTTCGTCCTACCGCAGTATGGGTAGTTCTCTGAATTGAGGTCCCGTTTTAGGTCGCCCAAAATACGACGGCACCGTTATATACAAAAAGGACGGTAAAGGGACCCTAATTTGAAGAACTACCCACATGTAGACCCCTCCCACCTCCCGGAGCGAAGCCAGCAGCATAGCAATGAAGACAACACAGCTACGGCATCCTACTCGAAGGGTTTGGGGCCAGTTTGGGGTTTAGGGTTTACGGGTGTAGGATCCTGGGTGTGAGCTGCTGAAGGTCTGTCCACAAGCTGCTCAATCCAGAGTTGGCCATGGAATCGTAAGGTTTTAACTCCTTCTCGCTGTTTGGCTGTACTGGTTCCAGAAGAAAAGGCGATCGCAACGCCCGGTCAACGCCTCTCAATCACTGCAAAAAGACATCAGTGCAGGAAGTCCATTTCTGGCGAGCATGTCTTACATCGGACAACTCAAGCTGCTCATGACGATCAGGCCCTCACAGCTCTGGTCATCGGCTACTCTACGACACGAAGCTTTGACTAGTCTCGGTATGGCCCAGTCAGCCATCGATGAGCGATCCAAGCAGCTCATTCAAAGAACGAAGCAGGGGGTCGCTTGTGCAAGGACGCAGTCTCTGGCGATTTCTGGAGAGGGCTCTGGCTCACTGAGCGCGGCGTGTGAATGAGCTCGTCCATATCTACAAAGTGGAGTGTTGAAGCTGCCCACACTCCTTCATGTGCAGCAACTGAAAAGGCGCCGCAAGACAACAAAAAGATGCACTGGCCAATCGATCCAAGAGTCGTTCTGGCAACTCGGCATCTGAATCGCCCTGAATTATAAGGGCAAAGTCCAGCTGCAGGGAGCTCAGTCTGCTCCGCATTTGGTGGAGCGACAGCCGGTTCACGTACGCGCAAGAACTTATATCCTTGTGGCGGGGCGGAGCTTGCTCCAAACAGTCCCAACAAACGGTGCTTGCACCTAGCCGTGAATCACTCAGCTACTGCCGACCAAGGAGCTACGTCGATTTCAATGTACCCAGCACCAGAGTAGATCGTTGCAGACTTGCCCAGCAATGCTGGCTTCCCACTCAAGTTCTGCAAGACAGAAGGAAGCGAGGAATTTTTAGACTCTGTGATTTGGCACAGGGCCTTGAGCTTATTCCTCATGATGTTGTCCTCTTGAGCAAGCTGGCAAAAGCGACGCAGCAGTTGCAGCGCAGGCTCGTGGCTCTCGCTCAGCGCCGATTCGACTTCGGCCCGGACCGAGAAGCAAAAGATTGCGGAGCTGCATTTAGCATCGGCTCCTGGAGGGCAGATTTTAAGGTTCGGGGTCGGGTTAAGCGTCTTTAGGGTTGCGGTTTCGGGTTGGGTTTAAGGGTTTAGGGGGTCAAGGACTTAAGGCTTTAAAGATGTCAAGGTTACTGTCGGCGGGACTTGGGATGTGAAAGCATAGCAGGGTGGGTCCATGCGAAACCCGTCCTTGCAAGATGTTCGGGGCATCGTCTGGGATCTGCAGGTTTACGATGCAGAAGGTAGGAAGATCGGATGAGATTGGCCCTTCGAGTCCAAGCATCTCAAGTCCAAGCCGTGCAACGTGGGAATGCCGGGACGAGCTGCTCGGGGCTGGCATCGTGAATGCTCGTCGCAGTTCGTACATGGAGTCTTGGGAGGCTTCTTTCTGTTTATGGGTGCTGTAGCCCTGAGAGCGCACGAGGATAGAATCGGCCTTCGCATCCTCAACACATCCAGCAGTGGAGCCGAGGGCGACGGGATGCAACGATGTCACCAAGTCCACCTCGTCGTCCCTCCCTGTAGTCTCTGAAACCGGGGGCTCTGGGACATCAGCTCCAGCTCTCAAGCACGTCAGCAGGTTCAGCACCATGACAAAGGGCCAGAAAGCGGCAGAGTCTTGAAGCAGCAGAGTCAGTGCCACAACGCTGTTGCACAGCAGCAGAAGTAGGGCTCGCTGCCTGATCCATGTGCCAAGACACTGTAGGACCCGAACCAGCCCGTAGCTCTGCGACCGGGCTGTCTTTGATGCATCGTCCTGTGCAGATGGGCTCGGGCAGTGAAATGCATCAGCATTTCGCAGGCAGGCTGCCCACGTCTGCGCATTCGCAGTTTTGAAGATGAGCCTCAACCGCGCTTGATCCGCGATCACATACTGGTTGTGACGCGCGACATTCTTCAAGGATGCCAAAACCACCTCACCCCCTTTGGCTTCCCCCAGTAAGGCGAACTCCCGGGGCTCGAAGCGCAGGAGCCTTCCCCGGCAAATCACGAGGAATCGAAGCTTCGGCCCACCAAGGGCAAAGCACTGCAGTTGGCTGCCAGCTTTCTCCTGAGACTCGAAAGCGAAGCCCATCAAGGGCACCCTGGAGTCGTCATACTCGATGCACGTATCAACATCCAAGGGCTCCGGCGGCTCGACAAGCCTCAAGACTTCACTCTCTTGAGAATGCGGGACTGAAGGGGGGAGGGGGGGGGTCTGCGGAAATCCAGTGTGGCCAAGGCACTGCGAGTAGGAGGCATCGACCCAGCCATGAGAGGTGAACATACCTTCCACGAATGTCGGCTTGTAGGTCTTGGCGGCCAGAAGTGCCTGCGGGAGGTCTCTCTTAGTCTTCGGTTGCAAGAAAGGGCGCCCCCACCTATGTCGGAAGCACTCAGCTGAGTCGGCTGCTTTCTTCCATGCTTCTACAACTTCCGAGCTCGCCCGGATCGTCAGGGCCGCATTTCCCAGCAAATCCCACAGTAGCAGGCGCTTGGTGTCTGGCTCATCATCGATAACAGACTCAATTTTCGATACCTTTGGCTGTGCATCGCTGCAACACACGAGACTTGATGCGACACGACTCTCCCTTAGATGCAAGAAAGTTGCGTCTGCAAGGCGCAGGTGTCCTCTCTCTTGGCCCAGAATCGCCCCGGGTCCTTCGTCGCGGAACCAGTGAAGGCAGCCCGTGTGGGCTCCGAGCACCATATAGCGTGGATTCCATTGGCCTCCCAAGACTTTCTGCCTGGGCTTTCGTTGCAACACGTGTCTGTGGCATGCTTCACAAACACAGCTGGCGAGGGGCCATAACTGGCAGCACACAGCAGCAGCCTCTGAATACGCATGATCAGCCATGCTGCAACCCCCCGGGCATCTTCTGTACACTCGACGCTGCCCAGATCCAGCGGTTTGCAGCCAGCGCAGAAGCATCCAAATCCTCGTTTTCAGCCATGGCTTTACGAGGCTGGGCAGACCCAACTGCAAGAAGAGACTGCTACACCTTCACCATCTGAAGCCGAAATGCCGATTGAAGAAATGACTGGCCCTGGGTTGCATGCTTCTTGCACAAGCATGCCAACACCGTTCAGCATGATAAAGCTTCCTCCTGCATGGGGACCCAAACTCTCGCGATGCGGAAAGCATCCTCAAACGAAGCACTGGGATAGAGCTTTCGTCGGGAGGCCAGTCGCCGTCGGCTTTCTGCTCTCGGTTTTTCGACTCCGGCATCGTAAGCTCACGGCAAGCGCGGCGCGGTTTCGGTTTAGTTGCCCTATGGGCTGGAGTGTCCTGCAACTTTTCTGGCGGTTCCCGCCTGGCTCTGGGCAAGAAAGGAGTTCACATGTCAAACCCGAATTTGCACGTCGATCGAAATAGAAACTAGGAAAAGCACTGACTGGGCACAGAGTCTGAGAGCTTTTTGGAAGTTGCGACTCGCTTGCAGCTTTGCTGCGTGAAACATGAGCTTCTGTGGCTCGTCTGATCGCTTAGCATTGCCATCGGACTCCGCTGCTTCGCAGCATCTCCACCGTTCATCAATTCAGCGCCAATTTTGCGTTGCACTGGAAAAATTATGCCGTGCTTCAGGTGAACACGAAATCGACGAATTCGTCATAGTCCACCTGCGCCGTCACAGTCATCGTACAACAATTGAGACGCATCCTATGAAAGCACACTACCTGTCCCAACATCACAGAACTGGCCTCACCGTCATCTGAGGCGTCCTAAGACGAGTTCTTGCTACACAGTTGACGACGGGTTCGCGCATCGGACATGTTCGCGTGCCACACAATGTATGGGGTACAGTCACCATAATATGGTCTTGAGGTATATGGTAGTAACAATGCCGGATTCTTCTTCATGTTTCAGACCCCCGCACTTGATCGATTCGCAAAGGCTTCTGAGGCGAGGTCGATGGTATCAACCAGAGCTTTCAGCTGCTTCGACGTCATCGTGTCGCAGGATTTTTCAAGAATTCTGATGAGGTCCTTGTTCTTGACCTCAGAAGCCAAGAAAGGCCCAGGGCTAGTACGGGAACTTGTCTAAAGCCTCTGAAGCTGCCCTAACTCCAAAACCCAAACCCTTTTTTTTCCCCTCTAAACCCTAAACCCTATGTTCTGAGCTCATCACTAAGCCATCACCGTTCTTGTCCCAGAGACGAAAGGTCGCCTTCACCAGGTCGCCCTGCCGGGGCCAAAGCCAAAGATGCTTTGGACAACTAAGAAAACCTTGGCTTACCCATAGGCCCTAAAGTGATTCCTTTTTGGGGCTTTTTATATATAGAATCCTATAAAGTAACCCCAAGGGTTTACCTATAGCCTCCATTGTAGTTCCTTTTTTTTGGTTTAACCCATGATATGTTAAGGATTTTATAAGGTATCCCCCAAAAGGAACTACAAAACTAAGAAAATCTTGGCGGATCTTGACCAAACCCTTCCTTGTGTGCGTGTATATATATATATATACATACGTATCTGTCAGGTGGTGTTAACATGGTATAAAAGACATTTGGAAGAAGGAGACGACAACAACAACAACAACAACAACAACAACAACAACAACAAACAACAGCAACAGCAACAGCAACAGCAACAGCAACAGCAACAGCAACAGCAACAACAACATCGCCACCAACCGCAACAACAACACCACCACCGCCGCCACCAACAGCAGCAACAACAACATCATCATCATCAGCAGCAGCATAGTTAATAACAACATGCGTGGCAACGTGCAACATGCACTTAGTTTTCACGCTATAATGTTGTGGAAAAGAACTCAATCCTATGTATTCTCAGCGCCGCAAAAACCGGGCCAGGTCCCCTAATTGTTCCTTCACCCCAGGCCTCCGTGTTCAAGATCTTCATGACTCTATCGTGGTGCTCGGAGTTGAGCCAGGTCACAAACTCATCATAGCCAATCGAATGGCCTTGGCAGGCCGTATTTACAGGAAACGGCTTCTGAGGGCTGAAAACCGATTGAACCAATACCTTGGCTGGCTGCTGTAGTCCGTGTCCGCCTTTCGCAGTTTCAGATTTGCACAGCATTTCACTCAAATCGCCGCCGTCACCAGACAATTTGCCCGTGCCCCCATCCCTCCCGAACCTTCTCCATCATCTTTTCGATGTCGTCGGCGGACATTGTGTTCAGAAGCTTGCGCATCATAGATCCGAGCTCCGGCCTGGCTACAAGCTAAATTTCATAATTTTAACCGGGTTCCGTAGTATATGATAGTATAGTTGTAAGAAGGAAGCCACTATAAGAAACCGTATAGGGCATTATGCAAGGCTTCGAAATTCCGGTTGTTAGCAGTATTAACTACCTCCTCCAGCACTAATTACAACTTGTGATTACTCATTGATCCGGTGATTCTCATTAGTGGTCGTCACCGTACCGTAGTTGGTGGTAGTAGTAGTAGTAGTAGTAGTAGTAGTAGTAGTAGTTCGTAATTTGTTGTTGTTGTCATGGTGGTGGTGATGGTGGTGGTGGCCTTGTGGAAGCAATGCTGGCATGATTTTGAAGCGGTGTCAGAGTGCCTTGGGCCCCTCTAGAGTGTAAGGTCAACAAGCCCCCGCAGCTTCACTGCGTCGTACCAATTGTGATCGGAGATGCTCTACCTATAGTCTCCATTGCAGTTCCTTTTTGGGGATACCATATAAATATACAATCCTTAATATATAATTGGTTAAACCACAAAAAGGAACTAATGGAGACTACAGGTAGAAAGCTTGAAGCTGCTGCTCCACCCCAACGGTCCAGCCTGCTAAGTTTCCCGTTGTTGTTCCTGGCCGGCCAGGGAAGCACTGTCTTATTGGAGGAATGTCGGCCGCACTTAGCAAGAAGATGCAAGAAGCAGGAAGAGAGCGCTGCTGCGCCTTGCAGATCAGAAATAAACTGGAAAATGACAACTGTGGTGTCCTGTCTGCACGAGCGAAGGTGGCCCTCAAGAAGGTCGTGCGAACCTGCCAGTCAAGTTAGATCCTCCAGCTCTGAATTTATCTCAATGTCACCATCCTGGATTTGTTAGGAAGGAGAGCAGCAATATTGCTGTAGCATTGCTGCTCCCCCGTCTCCCTACAACGACGGCTACTACTAAGGACGACGACGACGACTTCGTCGTACTTCGTCTACTTCGGCGGCTAGGATGTTACTCCACGCAGCATCGCAAGCCTGCACCTGAATCCCGTATGACCCCGGCAACCCTCCCAGGCCTACGAAACCAGGTCAACTGAGGGCCAAGCCAATTACGAGAACTTGGCCTTATTTCGCACGTCTGCTGTCTGAATCATAGGGACAACATCCCTTGGTATGATAAAAGCTATGCCAGATGCTGTTTGTTGATATACCCTAAACCCTGTTTTTTGCTATACTGGGCTTGAGGACTAGCCACATCCGCTCGACCTCGATCATCACGACTGAGGCCCATGCACATGCCGTGCTCCATGGTTGCGGTAAGTTCGTTGGTAGGCTCTGTCACATCCCCTTTTGCAACACACTTTCCACTTCGCCCGGAGTTGGAGCAAGCAGCCCTTGTCGAAAAACCCTAAACCCTAAACCCTTTATATGTCCGATGTATTCTTGGAAATCTTGCTGCAGCACGACGCGCCTCGTCCCCAACGGTGGCCATGCTTCGGGCCAAAGCTCCCAGAAGCCCGCTGTTCTCGGCCTTTCTGCACAAGGGTGGAAGTTGGTTAAAGGATAATTACATGCCATATGCCCGTGCAGGTCACAGCTGGGAACCGAATGGTAAACTTGAACAACTTTCCAAGAAGATTGCTATTTCATTAGTAAATTAGTACATATGGTGTGTCGAGGGTTCAGGACTGGTTCAAAGGCCTTTGGGGAGTGTAGTGGCGTGCGCCGCGCATTGTCTTCACGGTGTTGAGTTTTAGTCTGTTCGACGTCGCACTCTCATTCCCTGGACGCCTTTTTTAGCATAGGTGCCTGCATTGTGCAACAATGGACTCTGAAACTCGGAGTTCTAGCAGGATATGGGTAGTTCTCTAAATTAGGGTCCCTTGTAGGGCCCTTTTATAAGGGTGCCGTACTATATTGGGGACCCAAAAAGGGACCCTAATTTAGAGAACTACCCATATGTGGGCTCCGTCTCATCCCGTAAGGCCGGGACGCCAGACTGCGCTTCGAGCTTTGGAACAGCCTCGCATCGCGCTGCGTGCAACACGAATTGGGGCTTTCCGAGAATAGGGAACCCTAATATAGTACCCCAAATAATAGGATCCTGATTATAAGGACCCCAAAATAAGGGAAAATAGGGGACCCTAATACAGTACCCCAAATAATAGGATCCCTATTATAAGGACCCCAAAAGAAGGTACCCCTAAACCCTAAACCCCTAAGGACCCCAAAATAAGGTACCCCCCCATTTTCGGAAACTCCCAATTGCTCACAAGTCATCAAGGATCCTCCAGGACAGAATTGCCGGACAGGTCCCATGACGGATGCATGGCAGGCTCTCTGATCACTCTGATATACCCATAGGCCCCATAGTAGTTCCTTTTTGGGATTACCTTACGTATAGGATTCTATATATGAACCCCCAAAAAGGGGACTACTATGGGGCCTATGGGTATAAATAGCACTCCGGGCGGCCTCTGGCACTGCGTTGAGCAGGAGCACGTTGGCGTGCGACTTCCTGGCATGGGAAGCCCGCACTCCGTAGCCTCTTAAGCACATCTAACCCTAACCCCCCAGGTACCTGCTATATTATAATATAGGGTACTAGAGCCCCTAGGGTCCTATATAGTA